GGGTGATGTGATGGGGCTGGCGGGGGGGCGGCGGCGGCGAGTGCGCGAGGGAAATCCTGTCCTGGAGGCGTCGGAGCGGGGCCGCGGTGTCTCAGCCAGCCGAGCCCTCTCCGCTTTGGAGACGCCCCTGTGCTTATAGAGCTTTACTTTTTATTCAGGGATTTAAGCCCCTGTAGTAACGTCACAGTTTCGAACGCGCCTCCTTGATTTTCGCCCCTGGGGCAGGGTGAAGGGCAGCGCTGCCCACGGGCCTCCCTGGGAGGCAGTTTCTGAGGCGCCTGCAGGGAGCGGGACGGCTTTTTAGTCCAGAGGAAGCCGTGTACTTGTATTTAAGAAGTCTCGGACGTGTTTCAGCGTGTTAGAAGGAAATAAGCGGTGGGGGTGTGTGGTGTCCCCCACCCAGGACTGGCACTCTGTGCCACCATGGCCTGGGGAGCAAAGGATGGGGAAAACAAGTCGATGTCCATCTGCCGTGCTGGTGCTGGGACACCCGGCAGGGCCCCAGGCCAGAGCAGCCTGAGGGCAGAGAGGCTGCAGAAGACTCCTGCCAAAGGGACGGAGATCAGGCAGCCCAGAGAGCAGAGAGGTGAAGCAGGGAGATCAGGACAAAGAAGGCCAAGATGGACAAAGAGACCTGAGTCCTGCAGGCATGGCAGTGAGAGACCATCAGTGAGTGTATGTATCTGCACACATAAAGTGGAATATGCATCTGAGGTACAAGGGAGTTTATAATTCAGGACTAAGGCCTTGTCACTGAGGTAAAATCATAAATAGAAATAATAACAATGATGCCTATTTCTTATTCAGCTCTCAGAGACCACCTTCTGGCAGATCTTTGCACTCAGTTGGCTCCTGTGCCATCCTAGTGAAACACACAGTAATTCAAGGGCATAGCTGAGAACAAAATGGGGCTTTGTTTGCAAGATTCATGAGATGCCGTTCGGTTCAATCCGCCTACAAAATCCTTCGTTTCCCGGCACCCAAAATAAAACGCTGCCTACCAAACGGACACAGATAACACCCAGGGCTGCACACCAGTCAGAAGGGAGCAGAGGCCCAGCAACAGCTTTGTGATTGGTTTGAAGGAAACCCGCTTGCATTTGCCTGACACAGGGAGCTTTTACAGGAGAGCAATGCTCTAGGGAGCTGCTTAGCTCGGCTGCCTTGTGTTTGTGTTAAAACTCAGCACTGCAACAGAAATAATAATCTCAAACACCCAGGTCGTTTAGCTGGGGAAAAAAAAATATCCACAAAAGTATTTTGGTTTCTTTTCAGGTTAGAAATGTGCTCAGGGGCTTATGTTGTGTGCATTTGAAGTTGTATAAACATAAAAGATTGGAATAGCCTTTCAGATTTAGGGCTTCCTTCATCTGAAAGTGAATAATAATGCTAAACCTATTCTTTTAGTTACAGAGTGAGCGCTCAGGACCGGTCTGAAAATAGTTGAAAAGGCACACGGCAGTGTATTTCGTGACAAGATGGAGTTTTGTAACAGGAAGAAATTAAGGTGATACAGGGCTGCTCATCTAATTAAGGTAGGCAGCTAACCACTGAGTCAGTTTGTACCTGATGCCTGAATCAGATAGTGGGAGCAGCACACCCCTAAAGGTTCAGATTTGTGTTATATTTGGATTGCAAGGTAGATGTTAGGCCCTAATGCAACAGAGTCCTTAAATACGTCTGGCTTGCAGAACAGTGCTTTCCCGAGCTGGGAGGGGCTTAAAGCCACTCCATGTTTCTCCTACACTGTCTGTACAAGGACCCCTTGCTACGATTTCAAGACAAGCTTGGTGAATAGTAAGGATGTTGGTCCTAACAGACCATGAGCTATTATACTGACAAATACCGATTTCCTGTGCCAAAAGGTCTGTTACTTCGTGCTTGTTACTATAAACTCTAGGGCAGGAATTGTCTCTTTCTTGTAGTCATGTGCAGGGTATATTTCAGAAGTACAGCTGCCCAGGGAGATCCTGTCCAGAGAGCTGTTTACAGCAGAGATCGTCACACTTACAGTGCTTTAGCCAAGCATTTGGCTCAAAATAACAACTAGAAGTAACACGAGTAAATAAATAGCCCAGGGAGCATTTTAACCACTCTGGCAGGAAATGTCAGTTTACATCTGTCGCTAGTCAGCTCTCCCTGTCAGAGAGCTGGATTTGCTGTTGGTAACTGAGCAGTGCGGACAAAACAGCTGGTAACTGAACTGTGTAGATAAAAGCTCTTTCAAGCTCTCCATGGGCTTTGGTCTCTCTGTGCCACAGCTTTCAGCCCTCCCATCTCTGAAGAGTTTTCTGGGTGAGGCAGAACGGTGTGAGCCCAGGCAGCCCGAGGAGGTCAGAGCAGGGAGCTTGTTTCCCCGAGAGCTCCTCCCGCCTGCTCCGAGCCAAGCCTGGCCACGCTGCCAAGGGGCTGCCTGCCCGCCAGAGCAGGACAGCAGAGGCAAGGGGACACCGCAGACCCGGCGAAAAGCTGCTGCAGCTTCGCAGCCAGCGAGTGCAGTCACCTGTGGTGTCCCAGCTTTTGTGCCTTGCCCTTTGTTTCTGGCTCCGGGGCCAACTCTGTGCCAACTGCAGGTTAGCACGCAGCCAGGTTGTGGGGTGCAGAGGGGTCTGGCAGTGCTGGCAGACCACCTGCATTTCAGGGTTTGGTGCTTCCTTCCTTCTTTTAGGCTGGTCTGCGTAGGCAGGGCCTTACCCAGTGAGGCACAGGAGTCTTGTTTGTTTGTGTGGTCCTGATGAGAACCAAGTAACCAAAAAAAGCCATTTCGTGCCACTGGGAAACTGCCTCTGTGGGTTTTCTTAGGCAGCACGTCCACGGTGCAGTTTTCTGTTCAGTGCGACGTGGCAGCTTTAACTCCGGGGAGACAAAAAAAAACCCAAGAAAAGAAAACGAGGGTAATTTTGTGGAGATGCCGGGGATTGAACCCGGGACCTCATACATGCAAAGCATGCGCTCTACCGCTGAGCTACATCCCCTACCCGCGGTGTTTGCGCTGCCTGCCCGCAGGTGCGCGCGGTGCGGGACGGGG